CCCATAGGGAGCCCCACCGAAGGCCCCGGTGGCTGCGTTCGCATGCAGTTCCACCCCCATGTCGGCACACCCCTCACACGCTTCGTGGCCCCATAGGGAGCTCCGCCGAAGGCTCCAGTGGCTGCGTTCGCATGAAGTTCCACCCCCTATTTCGGCACACCCCTCACACGCTTCGTGGCCCCATGGGGAGCTCCACCGAAGGCTCCAGTGTCTGCGTTCGCATGCAGTTTCGCCCCCGTTTCGGCACACCCCTCACACGGTTCGTGGCACCATGGGGAGCTCCGCCGAAGGCTCCAGTGGCTGCGTTCGCATGCGGTTCCACCCACCATTCGGCACACCCCTCACACGCTTCGTGGCCCCATAGGGAGTTCCGCCGAAGGCTCCTGTCGCTGCGTTCGCATGCGGTTCCACCCCGCCGAAGGCGCCAGTGGCTGCGTTCGCATGCGGTTCCACCGCCCTTTCGGCGCACCCCTCGCACGCTTCGTGGCCCCATAGGGAGCTCCGCCGAGGGCCCCAGTGGCTGCGTTCGCATGCGGTTCCACCTCCATTTCGGCACACCTCTCGCACGCTTCGTGGCCCCATAGGGAGCTTCTCCGAAGGCCCCAGTGGCTGCGTTCGCATGCAGCTAGGCTGCTCCACCGAAGGAAATAATCACATCTGCGGTATGCACAACTGCATGTGGTGGGGTCCTTCGCCGGGACACTTTTTTCAGCGGTGCTGACCCGAGACGGCCAATACCGCGGCAACCCTGGAAACAGATACGTCCAATCGACATGCTGCTTCCGCCGCGGGCGCTCACAGCGTGCTACAAAATGGATTACGGAACCCGGTAGCGTTCAGCGAAAAAAAGGAGGTACGACTCGCTGAATCAAAAGCTACACATGCGCCTGCGCACATGAAGAGACACCTGCGACTTAGAGCGCCTGCACAACTGCGACAAAAGCGCCTGCGACTTAGTTACGAACGACTTAGTTACGAACAGACGGACGCGGGAGCCCGTCCGCCCTGCGGGCGCGGCAGGCAGATCCCAAGGCAAGGCTGCTGCGCGGATGTAAGCCGGCGATCGCGCAGGCTGGCTCGACGCACACTCATCAGTCCCACGTGGCCTCCGCAAACCTGCCAGTCTGGAACTTTGCAAGGACGCCCTGGCGTCCGCCACCTTTGAACGCATGAAAACCGACCCCCGCCCCCCACATGAGGAACTTTAGACCAACTAGACCGCGGGCGCGGGGCCCCCCCCCTGCGGCAGCTGGCAATGGCCTCCCTTACAAGACGCCTACACCTACGCACATTCGCCATACTTGTTAAACGTTGACATCTAAAATCCATTGTTGTGGGGGCTGGGGTCGGTTTCCCACTGTTCAACCGATCAGGGTCGAGGTGTAGTCGTCCTCCTCTTCGATGGGGCAGACGCACATCATGTTCTTATCAATAAGGTTGGCAGCCGCTTCGTTGTCGTTCATTGACCCGTCTGATACGCGAGTGATCGCACGCTGCTCTTTAATCCTCTGCCAGCGAACCTTCCAGCCTGGCGTTGAGTGGGGACCTCTCTTCGCGTCCAACCCGTCCCTGTGACGCTGGCACTCTGGCGTGACATCCTCTAGTCGGGGATGAACAAAACCCCCTTGAGTAAAACGTGGTTTTGTGTAAACGACGTCGGGCCCAAGCCTGGAGAATGACGGCCGCGGCGTCCTCTCGAGAACCGAAAACGGACAATTCACTAATCGACGTGTCAGGGTGGGGGTTCTGTCCAACCCCGAATCCTCTAGCGACTCGGCGTGCGCATCGAACCCAAGAAGCCCGCCAATGTCTGCACGACCGAGTGCGCTCAAGCGCCGCACAGCCAAGTTCAGGTGCTCCTGCATGGGGAGGTCTTGGCGGACGACGATCATCGCGAAACCTGTGCTAAGCTTGCTCTGGATCATGAGCTGAACCTGCCCAGCCACGGCCGGCAATCCTTCCTTTACGCTCTTCTTGGTGCGCCACTGTGACTTGGACATTGTCACCCTGACGCCTTCCCTTGCCTGATGCTCGAAGAGAACAACGTTTCCATCGGTCCACTCCTCAAGCCTCGTCCACGGAACATTTCCCGACGTGCCCGGCTCCAGCACCCGAAGCCCCAAGAACTCGTCGCTTTCATTCTTAGTGTGCGACCTGAGGTAGGAGCGCACCTGCACGACCGACCCACCGATCCATGCGCCCGAGAGCTCGACCGCGGTGATGTACGTGGTGCATGGCTTCCCGTGCTCAGGGCGGATCGTTGCCTGAAGCTGCACCTCGGCGGCCCTTTCGGCGGCCTGCGGGATGCGGAGCAAAGTGAACTCCCCGCCGTGGTTGACGTCGAAATGCTCGCCAAGAAGGTTAACCAAATGCGGGTCACCCTTGGCCGACACCGTCGGGGCCGGGGTGGGCAGGGGAATGGCAGGAGGGCCGATGCAACATCCGCCGTTCCCGTAGCCGCTGCCCGCATAGGCATCGAGGACCGTGTTGTTCCCACTGCACTGCTCGTCACACCTGTACCCGAGATCGCAGATTTCGATGCCACATCCGCATGGGTACTGCTCGCTAAGCGAGATCCCATTGACCTGTGTGCAGGCAGAAACGATCGCGTCGTACTTGTTGAACGCCGCGTGCACGCCGTGGTCCAGCACGAAAAAGGGTCCACTCTTCCGAAGCAGGGACTCATGGTAAGGCGACAACCTCTGGGAATCATCGAAACCGATCTTGTCGACGATAACCAATCTCTCGAAGTGGCCAGGGTTGCGCGTCGACATGGTGATCCCATCGCCCTTCTGCAGCAAGACCCCGCTCTCGTCTTCGGCCTTGTTGACGAATACAGTGTCGGACCCAATCGCGAGGGGCTCGGTGAGCCACACACCCGAGATGCAGTTGTCGAAGTCGCCCAAGTCCACTTTGCCCGCCGGGCAGTTGCTGCAGCCCTCCGAGCGACGCCGCCGCGTGGCACCTGCGGGGCACTGCTGGCAGACGCTGGTGTCTTCCATGAAATAGTATCCGTAGGTGCATTCAGCTGGGCCCTGGATTGGGAACCTGGGCATGTCACGCGAGTACGGCGAGTCTCCGCACTCTGCCTGGGTAACGCAGCCATCCCCGTCCGCATCCATCTCGGCAAAGTGTCCGTTGAGATTCTCTTCTTTGTCCACTTCTGCCTCCACCAGGCAACCATCACCATCTAAGTCAATATAGGTAAACATGCCACATGCGTCCTGGTCACAAGTGCACGGTGCCCCAGGTTCCATCGTCGGCGATGGGGTGGGAAGATACGTCTCGTAAGTTATGTTCACCGTCATGTTGGACACTGCACCGTCGCATACTAACGTCCACGTTGTGCTCCCAAGAGGGACACCATTGAAGTTAGAACTAGCGTGATGCCCAAAATATTCGCACGCCGAGTCAGAATCTAAATCCATGGTCGCTGTCATGTTTGGTGAGTCTGAGTCGAGAATCCATCGTGGCTGCTGGTATATCAAAGGTCGATCGATGCCATCACACGACGCATCCCAATATATGTAGTTACCATCGGTATTGCTGTACACTGGCGCTCCTGTTGTGCTGCTTCCAGCAAAAACGAAATAGCTGCTGCCGATCGAAGTCGTCAGGCACGGCCAATCTACTTTCAGAATGCCCGGAGGAGCGCACGAAAGGCCACGCCTGTCACCTGAACAGACCTCGTTGGTTACACACACTTCAGATCCGCACTGACACGGGTAGAAAGAACTCATGAACGATCCATCCGTGACATCGCAAGAATCGAGTGCAAGCGTGGGTGCAGGCGTGGGCGCGGGCGTCGGTATCCGGTTAAAGTTGACACTGAGGGCTCCTTGCTGAACTGGGTTGGCACAGGTGGTGTTGGAGTCATGCCCATTCGTTTCCTCACACTCCGCATCGTAAAGATCGCATTGGCCTCTCCAAATAGATTGCCAAGGGTGAAGACCGATCGACTTGCAATTGGGAAACAATGAGCACTCCGAGGCACACAACTCAAGAGATGCGAAATCTTCTGATAACTGCTTAATCGGTGTTCCACACTGACAATTACGACCGGTTTGCTCGTACCCAGGGTAGACCGACAGGAGTAGGTCATCCTCATGGATTTCTGTTGGCATTGGAGTTCCAACATGCAGCGCTGTAGGCATCGGAGTTCCAACATATTGATCTGCTGGCATCGGTGATCCAGAACTTGTCCGAAGCCGGTCCCCTGACCGCCTAGAGCAAGGCTTGGGACACACGTCAGAGAGCCTGTCCACTGTGTGCAGGTGCTGCTGGAAGTCCTCGAAGCTGGAATTACTCGTCAGGGGAAGATACCATTCCGGGTGTTTTTTGATGCCCGTCCGCATCGCCCACTCCACCTTCTCGTGACACTCGTCGCCCTCGACACTGGTGCGGCACTCCTCTGGCACTACGCGCAACTGCTCTGTCGGTCGCTGTCGCTCCTCTGACTGCTCCGCTGCGCACGGCTTGGGACACACGTCAGAGAGCCTGTCCACTGTGTGCAGGTGCTGCTGGAAGTCCTCGAAACTGGAATTACCCGTCAGGGGGAGATACCATTCCGGGTGTTTTTTGATGCCCGTCCGCATCGCCCACTCCACCTTCTCGTAGCACTCGTCGCCCTCGACACTGGTGCGGCACTCTGTCGGTCGCTGTCGCTCCTCTGACCGCTCCGCTGCGCATGGCTTAGGACACACGTCAGAGAGCCTGCCCACTGTGTGCAGGTGCTGCTGGAAGTCCTCGAAGCTGGAATTACTCGTCAGGGGGCGATACCATTCCGGGTGTTTTTTGATGCCCGTCCGCATCGCCCACTCCACCTTCTCGTAACACTCGTCGCCCTGGGTTGAAGTATGGCATCCCTGCCAGATCCCACTGCCATGCAGGGGAACTGCTGTGTACATCTGCATGAGCTGCAGGTCCACGTGCTCAGCGCAGGCACCTACAAGCCCCGCTGCGCACAGATGCGCCAATATTCCAAACATAGCGTGGAACATGTCTGGCTGAAGATGAGGCTATACGGAAGCTATTCGGTCTCGGCTCGCATGCGAAACTGTACGAAGCTCAAAAGCTTGAGCCAAAATGGTTACGGGTTGCGACTCAGCGTAAGTGTTGCACCCTCACAATCTTAAATCCGTCCAAAACACACTGTATGGTACGTTAACCGTGGGAATGTGCGCGGCGCTCAGGCTAGAGCCACATTTTGAAAATCGCCCACCCTCAAACCGTGAAACTCTTGCAATTGTGTTAAACCCATGTGCGCGGCGCCAAGGCGAGAGCCACATTTTGAAAGCAGACCGCCATCTATATGTGAAATTCTTGCCATGTTTTAAAACGAATGTGCGCGGCGCTCAGGCGAGAGCCACATGTTGAAAACCGCCCACCCTCAATCCGTGAAACCCTGGCAATGTTTAAAAAAAATGTGCGCGGGCGCTAAGGCGAGAGCAACATTTTGAAAACCACCCGGCCGCCGGTTATGAAACTGTTGCCATTTGTTTAGCTGCAGGGTCATACATGGTAAGGGTGTCTCAGGCAAAATGCCCCGCCCGCCCGTTCGACTGGCCTCGGGGTGCGACAGGGAGGAGCTGCTGATAAGGAAACAGGAAGGAGGAAGAGGAGGAGGAGGAGGAGCCTGTAGGGAAGAAGCGGGGGAAGGCGAGGGGGAGGAGCGAGGAGGGAATCGGCGCGGGGGAAAAGACGATGAGGACGGGAAGTGAGCTGACTCAGGCCATTCGCGGCTGTCAGACAGTCGCGCGGACCGGTCTACGCTCAAGCGCAGGAGGGGCGCGAAGAGTGGCGCAGGATGGGTGCGGGAACACCGGGATCAGCGCGCGCCTGTGGGCAACGGAGCGGCGTGGGGTCTCTGGCAGCCGCCGAGGGAGAGGGGCAAGCAGGGGGCGGGCGGAAAAACAAAACCAACGGGGGCGAGCCAAGCAGTCGCGAGTGGCACGAAAGCGGCGCGCTGCCATGCAACGCGGGGTGGAGCAATCACCATGGAGCGTGGCAGGCAGAAGGCGGGGAATAGTGCATTTTTCCATTGAAGACAGCCCCATCATGTGTTATCACACCTCAGCCAGCACAGCGAAAGGATTCGCACTGCTACTGCCAATTGCCCCTACACACGACAACAAGCAAGCCTGATGCCCGCGGTTCCTCTCGAAGCGCGCCACCACGGATGTGTGCGACAGGAGCGGGGAATAGTGCACAAATGGGTGCATCGGGAGGTCGTGAGTGACTGAAGCAATCGCGAGCGGCACGAACGCCGCAAGCTGCTGCCCAGTGCGGACACCGTTTGATAATTACCCCGACGTTTGAGAAAGCGATATTTCGCCGCGGACTTGGCACTGGAGCTGGCCTTGCTGATGTCGGGCGTCGTGTGGCCCTGGTCATGTCCGCGGGTGACGTCACGTGGACCGTCTGTAGGCGATACGACGCTAGCCGAAGTACAGTCCTCGTGCTTGTCAGGCCACGGCGACCCTCGGCCACTGATAGGTTGCACGACCTGAATGGGAGGAAGGGATCGAAAACTAGAGCCCCCCCTGAACCCAACGTGGTCCTTGTTTCAGCTTCTTGACTGTAGAGAGCTCTGAGGCCGAACGTGCGGAGGATGCAACTGCCGAAGGCAAGGACTACAAACCTGGCGTGAAATAAGAAGTGCAACCGGACATTGCCGTCGATGTGGGGTCGATACCCGAACGGCTGTAGTAGGTACGCGTGTCGTCCTGAAGGTACGTCGGCAAGTGGGCCGCCAGTGATGACCTTGACAGCAGGTGCCAGGCCAGTTATGTGCACAGTGACGAAACCTGAATACAATCAGCACGCAGGAGAGCTCATCGGGCGCCGACGTCCATCAGGAGCGCGGGGGGGCGACGGCGCCAAGACGCGAGGCGCCGCGAGACCTCGAACACCCGCCACCATGCTGTAGGCAAGCTGGGGCGTGTCAGAATGCCCCTGTGGGTCTGGCGAGAGCTCTTCAGGAGGAGGAGGAGGAGGAGGAGGAGGAGGAGGAGGAGGAGGAGGAGGAGCAGGAGGAAGGGCGAAGTGCGAAGTGCGAAGTCCCAGCTAAAAGGCCCACGCGGGGCGGGACGGTGAAACGAAAGGCAGCGCGCTGGCTCTTATTACGCACACACACACACACAAACGCGAGCACGACGCGAGAAACAAGGCGCCACAACAACAAGTGACAAAATCTCTTCGAAATCAAAGGAAGCAAAATCATGTGCTAGACCATGCAACAAAAGCAACCGACAACTGTCGCCAAGCATGTCTGTCCTGCGCCCTCTCAAGCCATTCTCCGTGCCCAACATCGATACAAAACTTCCGCAACACGTATTCAAATGTCATCCATCTTCGTCGACTTGGTCGTTCGGGGCGCAGCCATCTCCCGCCAACTGGTGTCTGCCAGGCAAAATCTCTCCATCTGGTCACAGTGATAGCCCACTCATTCAGAGGCATTCAAGCGACGTGCCCCGCCCATCTCCAGTTCATTTCAAAATGCTCCCGCGTCCAATCCCTCACGCCCTCATTGCTGGCAAGCTCTCTCGCCCGCCGGGTCGTCCGTTGCACCCATTCGACCCAATCCTCTCCTTCTGCCATGCCGCTGTTCACAATCCTTCTCAACATGGCATTTTGCATAGAACGTAATCTTCTTAATTCGTCAACTCTCGGGGTCCACGACTCGGCGCCCAAGGACTAGGAGGAGGAGGAGAAGGAGGAGGAGGAGGAGGCCAGCGACCCCTGCGAGGCGGAGATAGCGTGGAACCCCGCCCCCTCCTCCTCGTCCTCCTCCCTCCCTCCCTCCTCCTCCTCCCTCCTCCTCACCCTTCCTCCTCCTCCTCCTCCTCCTCCTCCTCCTCCTCCTCCTCCTCCTCCTCCTCCTCCTCCTCCTCCTCGTCCTCCTCCTCCTAAGCCAGCAACCAGTACGAAAACGATTCGTTTGCAACTCGTGGGAGCCTCCCATGCCATCTTGCTGGCTTTGGCGGATCGACGCTAGTCAACACTAGCCGACGCTCATCGACGCTCATCGACGCTAGATCGAGGTTAATCGACGCCAAATCGACGCCAATCGACGCTAAGTCGACGCTGCTCGACGCTTAATCGGCGTTTCCTCATCTTGGCGGCGAGCGAGGGGGGGAAGTGAGCAGGAGAGGGCCTTCTCAGAAGGCGGTGGGACTTCTCAGAAGCCCTCGCGCCTTCTGAGAAGTGTTCTGCGTCTTCGGGCAAGGCTTAGAAAACTTCTCAGAACGCCAGGGGACTCCCGCGCCTTCTGAGAAGGCCCGCCCCTTCTCACTTTCCCCCCCCCGGCTCGCCGCCGAACCAGGGTCCGAAAATCGTCCCCTCTGGTTCTGCTTCCCAAAGCTCTGTTCTGCCTCTGGACAGCTCCAAGACAGCCGAAGGCCACCGCGTGACGGCTGCAAGACGCCCAAGAACCGTCCAAAGACGACCTAAGGAGCACCGAGACGGCCAAGAGGGCCCCAAGACGGCCCAAGATGGCCCCAAGGCGGCCCAAGAGGCCCCGAAGATGCTCCGAGAAGGTTCCCAGAGGGCACCCAGGAGGACCTCAAGAGGCAGAGATCACAGATACAAGTTCGGCGTTTCAAAGAATTGGGCATACTCGCCCTTCGGGCTGCCAGGAGCCCCCAAGACGACCCAAGAGGCCCCCGAGGATACCGCCGCAAGACGGTCCAGAAGGACCCTGGACGGCCCAGGGAGGCCCGAAGGCGGCCAAAAAGGGCCCAAAGGTAGTCAGCCATGATCCATTCGGCCCCAAGACCGAGGACGCGAGGTCGAGCTTCACACCCACACGAGTTCAGACCGCGCGCGGAACTGGCATGGGTCGCGAACTTACCCGAATACCATCCGAAGACGGCCCGACGAGCCCCGAAAGGCTACATCTCCACCCCGAGATATCCCAAGAGGCCCCAAAAAGCCTGAAAGAGACGCCGGAAGAGGCATCCAGTGAGTCGCTCAGAGGAGAAAAACGCTGAAAAACCGAAGGAAACGAAAATCAATGTGTTTGGCTCCCGAGGCCTTTCGACTTCAGATCGCCTCAGGAAATCTTCAGCAATCCCCAGGAAGCCCCCAAGACGGCCCAAAACTGTCTCAACAGCCCGCAGACAGCCCGAAAACTGCCACAGAACCCTTCAAGACGTCCCAAGAGGGGCTCCACGACGACTCCAAGACCAAGGGAACGAGGTAGAGTTTAAGACCCATGCGAGTTCAGACCGCGCGCTGAACTGGCGTGGATTTATGACTCCACAACCTTGACGCAGCGCTGCTACGCTGGCATGGAGGCGGAGTTTGCAGCAGGCAGCTGGTAAAAACACGCTCAGAGGCACGCAGGATACAGCGAGTTCGTGTTGTGACAACTTGCGTGCTGGTTTCTGACGCCGCGTGGATCGTTCAATCCTCAAGCTTGCACGATCGCGGCCTTCCGATAGCGCTGATCGTTTGACGCTGACCGATTCTGAGCCGCTGGCGGGGTCCAATTTTGAACGCCCGCGCTTGAGTCGCCGATGCGTCAACGCAGCGGGATCTACTGTACCTGCCTGCTGCCGCCAGCTGGTCACCTCGACCCAGCCGTCGCCGTCGTCGACACCCCAGAGGTCCCTGCCCCACGGCACGGTGTAGTTCCAGTCGATGTCCTGCGCTTCTTGACGCGGCGTGGCAGGGCTTTTATCTGGCGGGGACCCCAGGGGGCAGACAAGAGCGGAGACGCCCCCTGGCCATAGCAGACGGGACAAGGCGAAAACCGGGACGGCCAAGCACTGCGGCCGATCCGCGACCACGCGCTGACCCCAAAGCCCCAGTCGTTTCGGAAGAGGGCTCCGGTGAGGATATCCTGACCTGTAGGACGGCCAGCAGGCGCCAAGCCACCGCAACGACTTACCCACCAGCACTGGGAGGACATGATGACCCGCGGGAAGACCGGGATCCCCAGAACTGTGCATCTCTTGGAGGGCCGATCTTGACCTCTGGCTGCCGTCGCCCGCCTTCC